CTTCGTCATCCAAGGCACCTTCGTCATCCTGGCCACCTTCGTCATCCAAGGCGTCTTCACCATCCAAGGCACCTTCGTCATCCAAGGCACCTTCACCATCCTGGCCATCTTCGTCATCTTCACCATCCTGGCCATCTTCGTCATCTTCACCATCCTGGCCATCTTCGTCATCTTCACCATCCTGGCCATCTTCGTCATCTTCATCATCCTGGCCATCTTCGTCATCTTCATCATCCTGGCCATCTTCATCTTCTTCGTCATCTTCGCCGTCTTCGTCATCCCAGTCATCTTCGTCATCCCAGTCATCTTCCTCTTCATCCTCTGTAGCAGAATACAAATGAAGAGTTCAGTGTTTAGGCCGTCCGCTACACAAATCAAAAACAAAACACGCATGACAAAATATATACTGTCAAAAACAAAACACGCATGACAAAATATATACTGTACATACCGCCATTGATTAGGTCGAGAAGTTCCAAGACCTCCTGTGGAACATTGGATTGGTCGAAATTGTTTCCCTCTGCAAGAAGAAAAATGAATGTGAGGAATGGCCATTGAAAAGATCTTGGAACCCCGACCACACACACCGGACCACATTTGCATCGCAATTGGGGACGACGTACCAAAGAGATTTATAGAGTCAAGGCGCGTCAACTGGCCCAGCTCGCTGGGGACCAAACCAGTCATGCCGTTGTAAGCTGAGCATCACAGGCAAGAAAGGRTTTGATAATGAGTTAGACACCAAGAGAAGTGATAACGACAAATWACTGAAAATGAAAAAAGGCCCACTCCAACAACTCACACAAATCGAGTTCTTCCAGGGAGGTGAGATCACCTATCTCAGTGGGAAGCTCCGTGATTCTGTTGTACGCTGTAGTAATATGGTGGAGGCAGAGGCAGTTGAGGGCGAAGAAAACAAAAGATGGTATGGCAACACAATGAATTGAAAACATGCGGAAGAAATATTGCCATCTCCAATTACTCACACAGGTTAAGTCGTTCCAGGGAGGTGAGATCACCCATCTCAGTGGGAAGCTCCGTGATTCTGTTGTATGCTGCAGTAATACGGTGGAGGCAAAGGCAGTTGAGTGTGAAGAAAACAAAAGATGACATGGCAACAAWGAATTGAAAACATGCGGAAGAAATGTTGCCATCTCAAATTACTCACCCACGTCAAGTGCGGAGACGGAGCCGAGATTACCTATTTCGCTGGGAAGCTCTGTGATTTGATTCCTATCTAAAATCACAAAGCGGACGAGAATGCAGTTGAGTGTCAAGGAATCCAAACATGAAATTGCAAGAATGAATTGACAGCATGCCGATGAAACATCGCCTGCTCCAAGTACGCACCGAAAACTAGTTCGTGCAGAGAGCTTAGATTACCAATTTCACTGGGAAGCACTGTTAATTCGTTGGAAGCTACAGTCACATGATTGAGGCAAAGACAGTTGAGTGTCAAGGAAACAAAAAAGGTTGCAACGGTGATGATACAGATTGCAGATGAAATAATTCGAACTCCAATTACATACCTCCAAAGATACCTCGAAGGGAGCTAAGATTACCTATTTCACTGGGAAGCTCTGTAATTTTGTCTTCTTCTGAAATAGCATGGTGGAGGAAAAGGCAGTTGAGTGTCAAGGAAAGATCACAAGAAATTGCAACAATGATTCAACAGCTTGCAGATGAAATAAATCCCACTCCGGTTACTCACGGAAAACAAGCCTTTCAAGGGAGCTGAGATTACCTATTTCACTGGGAAGCTCCACAATTCTGCCATAACCTGTAGTCAAATGGTGAGGGAAAAGGCAGTTGAGTGTCAAGGAAACAAAACAAGGAAGAGCAACAATGTAATGGCACCATGCAGATGAATCATTGCCTGATCCAACAACGCACCTAAATTAAGCTCTTGCAGAGAGCTTAGATTACCTATTTCACTGGGAACCTCTGTAATGCTCATGTAAGCTTTAGTCAAATGTGAGGGAAAAGGCAATTGAGTGTCGAGGGAACATGTCAAGAAATTGCAACAATGTAATGACAGCATGCAGATTAAATCATGCCCTCTCCAGTAACTCACAGATGTCGAGCTTTTTCAGTGAGGTGAGACTTCCTATTTCACTTGGAAGCTCTGTGAGATCATTTGAACCTTTATAGACATGGTGGAGGCAAAGTTAGTTGAGTGTCAAGGAAAGATCACAAGAAATTGCAACAATGATTCCACAGCGTACAAACCAAATATTCCCTGGTCAAAGAACGCACCTAAATTAAGCTCTTGCAGAGAGCTGAGATTACCTATTTCACTGGGAACCTCTGTAATGCTGCCATTTTCAGCTTCAGTCAAATTATGAGGGCAAAGGCAGTTGAGTGTCAAGGAATCAGAACGAGAAATTGCAAAAATGATTTGACAGCATTCGAATGAAACATTGCCTGTTCAAAGAACGCACCTAAATTAAGAACTTGCAGAGAGCTCAGATTACCTATTTCACTGGGAAAACCTCTAAATTGATTTCCAGCTTTCAATACATGGTGAGGGCAAAGGCAGTTGGGTGTTAAGGGAACACAATGAGGAAGTGAAACAATGTATTGACAGGATGGAGATCAAATCATGCCCGTAACAAAAACTCACACAGGTCAAGTAGAATGAGGGAACTGAGATTTCCTATTTCACTTGAAAGCTCTTTTACCATGTTGGAAGCTGTAGACACAAAGCGGACACAGATATGAATGAGTGTCAAGCTAACCAAAAATAAATGGCAACAAGGATTTGACATTGCAGACATCATGGAGATAAAATAATCACAACGCAAATAACTCACTTAGGTGAAGTTCGTTGAGGGAGCTGAGATTACCTATTTCACTGGGAAGCTCTGTAAGTTTGCTTTCGTCTGAAATAACATGGTGGAGGCCAAGGCAGTTGAGTGTCAAGGAAACATAACAAGAAATTGTAGAAACGATTTGACAGCATACTGACGAAATAATTCCCACTCCAATTACTCACGTAGAAAAAGATTTTGAAGGAACCTGAGACTTCCTATTTCACTAGGGAGCTTTGTGAATTTGTTTTTCTCTGCAATAACATGGTGAAGGCAAATGCAGTTGAGTGCAAAGGAACCAAAGATCTTAGATGAAATGACAGCATGCAGATTAGATCATGCCCTCTCCAATAACTCACGCAGGTCAAGTGTAGTGAGGGAGCTGAGATTTCCTATTTCACTGGGAATCTGTGCAAAACTATTTTCATCTACAATCAC